TTTTTTTTTTTTTTTTTTTTTTTTACAGTTTTTTTTTTTCTTTTTTCATCCCCCCTCGTTGTTCCTGTTTGGCCGAGCTATCACAACTCACGAACGGGGAGGGGGAAAAACAACAACAACAACAACAACAAAACAAAGACTTACCTGGAAAGACGTACCTCGCCACACTATGTAGGTAGATTCATTCGATTTTGCTCATCCTGTGGTTGACTTCCTCGACGAGGAGCCAACCTTAGGTAGGCAGGTAGGTAGGAAGGTAGGTAGGTAGGTCGGTAGGTGGCTTTCTTCTCTCTCTCTCTCTCTCTCTCTCTCTCTCTCTCTCTCTCTCTCTCTCTCTCTCTACCTCTCTACCTCTCTACCTCTCTCGCGCCTATACCTAGACACTATCGGCGCCAGGTTCAGGCGCAGAGTTAGACTGTCGAGGAGCAACCTCCTGATGAGTCGGTGAAACCCCGACGAAACTGTCTTGGTACAGCCCGTTCGTCTTCGACGAACGGGCGTTTTTCAGTAGCTCGTAGGAAAAAATATCTAAAAAGAAGAATAAGATTCATAGATTCATAGAGTATGAAAAGCATCACGTCTTCATGCACAACATCACTCACGCAATATCGTACATGAGATTCATGCACAACATCACACACGCAACATCGGTCATGAGACAAAAGCGTTCGAAAATTGCATAGTAGCACAATACAGGTATGGCGTCCCCGACGCCGCGTTTCGACACCAGCCACAGTGTCTCATCAGCGGGTTCCTCCGGCCTTCTTCCCCTTACAATACCTTCTTTCCCCACAACCACTCCCGTTCTCACGTAGCGCCAACATCCGGATGCTAGCGTACCTCGAGATACGTTCGACCTGTAAAAGAAGTAACCAGTCGGACGCTCTGTATTTATGTACCTGGGTATCAAAAAAATCAGTCAAAGAAGTCGTCAAATACAGGCACACCGTACCTTGACCCTGTGACACAGTATAGTGTCAGGTCTTTCCCAATCGGTACTTAGAAAAACTCCTAACAATTCTGGTCCCTCACGTACCAATCCAGAGAAATCTTAGTAGTCTTAGACCTTCTCGAACGTTCCAGAGTGAGGTAAAGGTCTGCGAACCATGCATCGAGGCACTACGGTTCCCTATTTTCACAATACGAAAAACGAAAACAAAACAAAAATAAAACAAACCAGGAAAAAACAAACTATTACAAACATCGAAACCCAAATACCGCAGGTCCCTGTCCGCATAGTTCAATTCAATCAAACAACACAACAACCGTCGTACAGATCACCTGTACCTGATCTATCCCTATACTAAGAAAAGTGAGACATCAACGCAGCTGTGTATTCCCAAATCTCGTCACGGCATCTGGCGAATCTCGTGAGGACTCTCATGAAGAATCTATGTGGAAAATCCTTCAGTCTCAGTTCCCTCTTCAAGCTCAGGACTTTACAAGGTATCTCGGAGCGTATCGAGGTGTTTTGGTGAATGCGATGTAGGTAGCTCCCTACAATTGCGCTCTTCTGCCTTTTGCATCTTCAGGATCGAAAGGATTGACCAGTTTGGATTTCCAGTGTTTCATCCCTCCACATGCTCACTTCGTTTTTCAACATCTGCACGCATCCGACATACGGGTAGGTACTATCTATGTGTATCCTGCATCCCAAAAAAACGAAACTTCCAGAGCCATCATCTGTTCGCTTCAGACACAGATTGTTCGGATAGCAGTCCTCAAACTTCTGCTGGACTACCTTCGCCTCCTGTGGTCGCATACCGCATGTAATCAGCGCCACGTCGTCTATCAATCTAACCCCGAACACGTTCGTCCTACGTACTCCCAGGCTCCCCAAGAGCTTATACTCTGTGTGTGCACACATGATGCAGGCCAGGGGCGGACTTGTGCTCTTCCCCATGGAGATGCCTATGTCCCGTTTTAAAAGTACCCTTGTAGCATATGTGTAAGTATGTCGAAGCTCGATACGCACGAATTGCACAAGGTCTCGAATCTCGATCTTTCTCCAGTAGTCACCCCCTGTTGTCAAGCCGAAGCTGCATCCTCTTCCTCTACTGTTCACTCGTACTAATTCCTTGCCTTTCCCTCTGTAATATGAAGAAATTCAATCGACGGCGTCCATAATGTCGGTATGAGGTAACCGACTGAACATCTCCTTGATGTCATATGACATCGCGTTGACGCTGTATCCTCTCCCCCTCCTCGCAATCTTACTATTGACTTTTCCAAGGCGGTCTACCAGATGGGACACACTTTGTAGATTGAAATGCCAATCCCTGGGCAAAGAGAAAAGGAGGTGATTAAGAGTTTTTGCAACCAGACGACCAGTCTTCACCATGGGCCTATTGAAGGTCGGGACTAAATGGGCCTGTATCTGGCTACATCCTTCTGTTTTGGCAACACATATGCAGATCCCAGCTTTCCTTTTCTATCCCATCTGGCCATACACTTCAAGCCCGCCATCTGCACTTCTACTTTTATTTCGTCGAGCACCTCCTCCTCTGATCTGGTAACAACATTGTACCCCTCATTCATCACAAAGGTGGACATCATCGTTTTGGAAGTACGTCTTCGGGCACATCACCAGTGTTTCGCCCGGATTACGATCAATCGGAGTACACACCAAACCCTGCAATTGCCTCTTCACTTCCAAAACATCAGTAAGGTTGAGATAAAACGTCCCATCCTCACCCTCACTCACAAAACATCGTTCCAGTGCAGCCCTATCCACATTGACCTGCTGATTACGATAATTCAAACCGCAGCTAAAACTCGCCACGATCTCATGATGGAGCAGTGAGGTCCTATCACAGGCCTCCGGTCTCGGAATGTTCTTCGCATTAGCTATGAAGGGTAGCTTATCACACAACGCACTGAGGCGTACGCACACGTGACCTTCCACACGAGGGAAAGGTAGATCTGCACAGTTGCAGATTAGCACATCACAAGCGGCGTATTGCCGCTGGTTGTGCAAGATGTCCCCAACAGACTGGTTCTTAGTCCAGACGAGGCGGACTTTCTTACGTGCACGAGCTTTAAAGCACGCTGGCAACTCACTGTCCATGATCATATCGTTAATAACCTTCCTTAACTCAGAGAGCTTAATCCTATCATCAAACTTCACTCTGACCACCAGGTCAACACTCAGGCTTAACTTGAAACGATCCTTGAACACTCTCTGTAACAACCTACGTAGGTACTTCCGAGTCAATTTTCGGCTAAAGTCTTTCACCACAGCATATAACCGCAAGACAGACCGCATACTCCAACTGTACACATCCTTTAACTTACGAGGGTTATTCAGGATACCAATCAACACCAACTTCAGTGCTTTGCATCTAGGTTTCCAGATTCTCAAGTGGGTGATCCGAAAGAATCCTCCCTTTTCGAAGTAGCTCTTCGTGGATTGTAAACGTAAAACCAATCCATCAATCTCAACGACACTTTCGCCGAACATTCTCCTAATCTTCTTCCATGGTGTGTACCAAGTGTTTCCTCCATCACATCGAAGGTCAATTTCAGTACATCCCCTGGACGAGTATTTTGACAAAAAATCACAGAGATTAACAAATATTCCGTCCTGCTCCCTACTCATGAATCTAATAGGGTGAACATCTCTGTGAGATTTTAACTCCTGTGGGTTGGATTTTCGTCTTTCTCTCGCTCCCTTTCTCGTACGTTTCTTCTTCCCTATTCCCTTCTTAGGTCCGACAGTATTTAGTACAGGAGACCACTGCCTAATGTACATCTGTTCCAAATCCAGCAGCTCATTTTCATCGATAGTATCGACCGGGATCAAAGTGTAATTACAAGATCCAAAACATCCGATCCAGCGATGAAAGTGAGTCGGTGTCTTGTGCTTACTGGCGGATAAGTGTTCCCCCCATCGTACATCCACATCCCAACCTGTTTTTCCGACATATTGCGCTCGACAGAAAGGGGAAACTGCGACATATACAACATTCCTCAGATGCAAGAATTCGAAGCCAAATAGCTCGTATAGTCGTAACCAAGCAGATATACATTTCCTATTCCACCGAATACATCCCGCGACAGATTGTCGGACAACAATCATGCGGAACAACAGTTCCAACTTACGGTCAATCTTACCAAACTTACCACGTACATCTACCAAAATCCGGCACAGCCTCCAATACTCAGATATACCTAAAACGCATTACTCGTCAACATCCTCAGCAACTCCCTCGTTGCCTTCGACAATTTTCGTCGCCCCAACTTCATCAATGTCTTGCTTGCTCTCAACCTCTCCATCGTCTTCGTTATCGGTACCATAGGCGATGTAAGCCCTGTGCTCCGCCAAGTCAAATATCGCGTCAATCTTACCTCTATACTGAACCCCCTCCTCAAGGCAAATGTTCTGCAGAGTGATCGCGTCATAATCCTTGGGAAGTCGCATCACGTCCTCCATGAGCTTGTACCGGCCAATCTTGCCCATGCTGGCGGGAATCTTCCGCTTCGCTACCGCCGTGATTCTTTCCTTTGTTGCAGGGGAGAGTCTAACTTTTGTCTTGGTCTTCGAGCGAGTCAGCCTTGGTGTAAGCTTCGCCGGTTTTTGAATCCCTCTCTTCGGTGTACGCTTCGGTGTCCTTTTTGCCGGCAGCTCCATAGGCGGGTTATCCTCGAAAACAGGTTTTGGCCCTCTCTTCCGCTTTTCATTGATACTTAGACCTTGCATCCGTTCACGTATCTCCTCTATGTCGCTGCCTACGAATTCGTACTCAGAGAATTCCTCTTCAGGCACGTACTCCACTTTTGCTTTCCCTTCATCTTCTCATGGAGCTTCGCGGCAGCAATCGCCTCCCGGAACTCAGCGTAGGCTCCGCTAAGTGCTTCCTTTACAGTAAGTTTGACGTGTAAGTCCATATCCTTACGAATAGCCGCGACCCTCTCTTCCTCCTCCCGAGCTTTCTCAGCCTTCTTTTCTGCTTTTCGCTCCCTGGCTTCCTTTTCCTCCATGGCACGGCGCTCCACTTCCTTCCTTTCGGCTTTCTTACGTGCCTTCATCTCCTTCTTCGCACGTTCAACTTCGATATATTCGCGCAATGTCGCCATACTATCTCCAATCTCTTTTACCTGAGATTGCACCTCACAATCTTCGGAAGTAGAACCCCGGTAATACTTACATGGCGAATAAGATCTCCCTCGCCTGGAGTCCGTGGAACTGGACGGTCTTGCTTGTTGGGGGCCTCGCCAACCCGGTCTCGGGTTCCTGCACTGCGTCGAATAATGTCCTTCTTCGCCACATGCGTAACATATGAGTGGAGGTCTCCGCGGTCCTCTCTCCTCGTTGCCTCCATGGCCCCCTCCAATCTCTTGCTGATCATTCGACATCGTCACTCAACCCCTCGATAGTGAACTTCGCTCCTTCGTAACCGCAGTCGTACTGTCAAACTTCGAAATCAGCAGTCGTTCAGGACGATTACGTGCTCACCCCTTTCGGTAAGGCGACTCCGAAAGTGTTCACACGCGCGGTATGCAGATTCATAGAGTATGAAAAACATCACGTCTTCATGCACAACATCACTCACGCAACATCATACATGAGATTCATGCACAACATCACGCACGCAAAATCGGTCATGAGACAAAAGCGTTCGAAAATTACATAGTAGGACAATACAGGTATGGCGTCCCCGACGCCGCGTTTCGACACCAGCCACGGTGTCTCATCAGGGGGTTCCTCCGGCCTTCTTCCCCTTACAATACCTTCTTTCCCCACACCCACTCCCGCTCTCATGTAGCGCCAACATCCGGATGCTGGCGTACTGCGAGACACGTTCGACCTGTAAAAGAGGTAACCAGTCAGACGCTCTGTATTTATGTACCCGGGTATCAAAAAAATCAGTCAAAGAAGTCGTCAAACACAGGCACACCGTACCTTGACCCTGTGACACAGTATAGTGTCAGGTCTTTCCCAATCGGTACTAAGAAAAGCTCCTAACAATTCTGGTCCCAGAGAAATCTTAGTAGTCTTAGACCTTCTCGAATGTTCCAGAGTGAGGTAAAGGTCTGCGGACCATGCATCGAGGCACTACGGTTCCCTATTTTCACAATACGAAAAACGAAAACAAAACAAAAACAAAACAAACCAGGAAAAAATAAACTATTACAAGCATCGAAACCCAAATACGGCAGGTCCCTGTCCGCATAGTTCACGAACAAAACGGCTTTCCGTTGTAAACGGGTGCCTGATACATCCTCTGGGACATTAGGTCCCTTGCCACTTGGCTGAGCGCCATCTGGCACTATAGTTAGTTTACTTTTTTTTTTTTTTTTTTTACAATTTTTAGGTATGCCGTTGGCATAAACCAACGCCCTCTGCAGTCTTGCGCCAGCCTAGCAGGCATCCCCCCTCCTTCCCTCCTGTGCTACAGACCCGAGTTCGATCCCTTATGGGATCGGGAAATTTTTTTTTTTGAAACTTTTCTCGATTTATGCGTGTCATCCATTGCGCAGGGCCATGCTACCATCGCGCGCCTGATCTGGGCCGCGCGATCTCTTCGATCGGACGGCCAGATCAGACCTCGCCGACATCAAAACAACCACGGCCAGCTCCAAAAGGAGCTAGCCCAGTAGTATATACGGTCTCTCAAATTCGATCCTGGTATCTGCCGGGTGACGGTCGAGTGTGTTATCCTACTGGGCTAGCTTTTGTTTCACACTAAACAGGAGCACCTCTTCAATATGAAGAGCTAGCCCAGGTGACCTCCCTGCCTACGGCCTTGCAGGCTCCGCCCGTATGTGGCCTACCCACACCGGTTAGCGGAATGGTCGTGGCTTCGTTGGCCATCGAACCGGGTAAGCCTTGGCATTGGTCTGTCGGCCCCCAGGCTCGAAGTCAAACCCCGCGGCCCTAGAAATAAAAACAAAATTTTCCTACATCTCCTGCGTCGTGGCCCTATACCCCGGCGCAACCCTCCTTTTAACCCACTTAGGCCCTGAATTGTGCGGCTGATATTGGTAGAATAAGGTTAATTTTAGCATTCCCTCATCCGCACATTCCTGCGGCTTCGACAAAGCGAAGCAATGCCGTTCACACCAGCTACCCCCGGACGTCACACGCGTCCGGACTAAAGTCTGAAAACTCTTAGTTCCTTAATCATGGTTTAGGTCTGAATAAACTTTTGGCAAACGTCAATCTCATCAAGTCCTTCAATTCAACGAAAAGGTCAGACAACGTCTGACGTTGAAAAATACCGGCAAATACCCCTGTCAGGGTATTTGCCCCGACAACGGGACCCCTTCGGAAGGCGTTCGGTCGTTCAAGCCGAACGCGGACCAAAAAAAAAAAAAAAAAAGAAAGAAATCAAACAATTCCCAAAAAACGATATGTTATGTAGACAAATAAACTAAACAACATTTGCCTAGGCACTACATCCAAATTCTTTACCAAATTTGAATTAAAAATCAAATACAGAAAATAAACACTATGATAAAAATAAGAAAAAATAAAAAGAGAATTAAAATGAGTGAGTGTGCCGGCACCTTTTTGACACCGGCATATTTGCCGATTTTTAATTATTTTTAGGCATTGACAAATGCCCTGAAAATTTACAGATATGTAGTTTACATAATCAATAACTCATTAAAAAGTTTTCAAAAGATAATAAAATTTTTTAGGCCCGGAAATAAAATGAAAACAAAAAGTTAAAAGTGGAAAAAAACAAAATAGTGAGTGGGCGAGCACGTTTTGACACCCCCATGTTTGACAATTTTTAGTGTTGTTTTGACTTAGTAGAATGGCGTCAAAATTTATAGGCGTGGACGTTACATCATAGAGAGCTCACAAAAAAAAATTCAGAAAAAACAACGTATGTTTAGGCCCCGAAATGTTTTTTGGCGGGGGCCAAACCTGGAGGTGTTCGGCCCCCGAACGGGACCCCGAACGCCCGAACGTTCGGGGGCCAGCCTGGGGGCCCCCGAACATTCAGTCAGGTAACCCTGTATATATATATATATATATATAGACAAGGTTGTTAGGCCGAATGGACGAAGGCCCCTAAGCTAACACCCCAACGTTCGGGTGTTCGGGGCCCGAACTGGAAGGGGTTCGAACCTCACAAAAAATTATTTTCGCACCTTAATATTATTATTGTTTTCTGAATCTGTTTTTTTTATTCCATGTAATGTAAGGTATCTTCCTCTTAATTTTGAGGGCATTCTGTTTGGCTAAAAAATAATGAAAAATCGGCAAAGATGGTGGTGTGAAAACTTACTTACTCACTCACTAATTTGTTTTTTTTCTCTTTTCACTTTTTATTTTTCTTTTTTTTTCGGGGATCAAATTATATACATATTTTCTCAAAGCTTATTTTTAGGAACTCTCTATTACGTAAGATACACATATATAATTTTTCATGACATTTGTCAAATCAAAAAAAAAAAAAAAAAAAGCCAAAGATGGCGGTGTCAAATACGTGCTCGCCCATTCAATAATTTCAGTCTCGTTTTAAGTTTTCGTATTTGAGTTTTTTTTATTTATCAAGATTGTGATGCAAAAAACTCAACAACGTTTTCGAAACATGCTATGTTTTCCGTTACCTTGCGGGATTGTGATGAGTCTCATGCCCTACACACGAAATACGGCCACGTGCGTCTTTGTACAATAGGTAACTTAACGGCCGCCCGACCAAACATGCCAATAGTGACAAAATTTATGTGAGCTACTGCAGAATATGCAATGATCTTTTTCAAATCGATTTGTCGTACTGTAGTTAAGGAAGTATATATTATAGCAATTACACAAGTACCAGTCTTCATGATCTTCTTAATAAAATCAAAACGTATTTCAGTAAAAGCCTGTATAAAAAGCGTCGTTTTTTTATCTTTTTTTCAGTCTCAATAAAAACTTTTTAAACTCCTCCAAACATTTGCTTTCATTTTTTGTGTGTTTTACCTATTTATGGAGTATCTGAACATCGTGCTCACCTCGCTTTTGCGCGCTGCATCTTCATCTTCCTGAAGTTAATTGTTGCTTATAAATACTAATAAGAGGTGATAATGGTCGATTGATTTTCATGTGAATTTACTCTGATTTTGACTCAAGGTGACATGATTTGAACCTATGACCCTCTGTACCCAAAATAACCGGCATTCGGGACAGGCCGAACGCCCGAACCTGAACGCCTGAACGTATGGGACCCCTTGGGGATGCGTTCGGCCGTTCAGGCCGAACGCGAACCAAAACAAAACGTCATAAAAAAAATCTGAAACAAAGATATGCTATGGAAAACAATAAATAAAACAAGATTTGCCTGAGAGTTATATCTGGATTCCTTACCAAATTTGAAATAAAAATAAAATACCGAAAACAAATACTAATAATAAAAGTAAATAAAAATAAAAAGAGAATTAAATTTAGTAAATGCGCTAGCATGTTTTCGACGCCGCCATCTTTGGCTATTTTTCGTTTTTTTTTGGCATAGCCACATGCCCTGAAAATTTACAGATGTATAATCCACATAATACAAAACCCACTAAGAAAGTTTTAAAAAATAATAAAATTGTGAAGACCCCGAACTAAAGTGGAAACAAAAAGTAAAAAGTGAAACAAAACGTGGGCGAGCACATTTTGACACCGCTATCTTTGGCGATTTTTAATTCTTTTTTGGCTGATCAAAATAACTTGAAAATTTATAGGCATGCACCTCACGTCATAAATAACTCATAAAAAAACATTCAGAAAAAACAAACTTTGTTTAGGCCCCGAAATAATTTTGCCGTCGGGTTCGGACCCCGTACGGGACCCCGAACACCTGTACGTACGGAGGTCTACCCGGGGACCTCCGTACGTACGGGTTGGTGACCCTGTATATACATATATATAGAGAGAGAGATATAGATATAAACAGGGTTACTTGACCGAACGTTCGGGGGCCCCCGGGCCGGCCCCCGTACGTTCGGGCGTTCGGGGTCCGGTTCGGAGGCCGAACACCTCTTGGTTTGGCCCCCGCCAAAAACACATTCGGGGCCTAAAAATACGTTTTTTTTTCTGATTTTTTTTTTTTTGAGTTCTCTATGATGTAACGTTCACGCCTATAAATTTTGACGCCATTCTACTAAGCCAAAACAACACTAAAAATCGTCAAAGATGGGGGTGTCAAAACGTGCTCG